AGGGGGAGGAAGGGAGGAGAGAATGGAGGAGGGGGGAGGGGGAGGAGGAGGAGGAGGAGGAGGAGGAGGAGTTGTTAACCAACGAAGCAGAAGACAGCTGGTGCAACTCCAAGCTCCGCAGCAGGACTGAACAAGGCACATTCAAAGGAGCCAAGGGGGTACTTCTACATGCAAGTTGAGAAATGATTCACCAGTGATTTGTTCTGGGGAAGCCTGGGTATAGAATGGGGCCCCCAACAATCCAGTCTTCACCACACAAGATAAAGGTTGGAAACACATCTGCCTCTTTCTCTTCTCTGTGCATAGTGGCACGAGAGATCCTTATAAAACCCTAACCTTGCCAAAACGGTGGTTACAGAAACTATGACACAGCAGATGTTTGTCAGAGCCACTGAAACTCACAGAGGCCAAGAGGGGCAAATACGTACAGAGGGAGACCACAGCACTTTTGCTCTAGCAGCATTTTTATTTACAAACAGCAATTTCCATTGACTTTATACCATAAAAAAGCCATTTACAAGCAAGAAACAAGAATTTAGAACAAAATTAAGCAGCACTGAAATATTCATGTCACAAATCTAAAACAAAGTGAATACAAGAGTAAAATATCATTTGAATAAATAGTCTTAAACTCATGCTATAAAATAATCCTTAATGGCAAGTTACTAGTTGATACAGCATCCGCTTAGCTAGCTTCATTTACTTCATATGGTGATGAAGTGTGGAGTTGTGAGGTTACCAGTTTATATTGCAAGATAATGACACTGTGTTAAGTCATTCAAATTGCTCAACCATTTATAACGGAAAAAATGTTAGCCCTACTAATAAAAGTGGTGAGAGAGATGGTTTTCACATTAGGGAAATGTTCATTCTTAAACAAACCAGGTAAGTTTACCTCTTACTATAGTCAGGGCGGCAACCAAAGGCTTGGGCGGCAAGTCCAAAGGTTGAATTCACAGCATACTTGTCACTGAGGGGCAGCAAGAGGTCTGTTTACTGAATCTGCTACAAGGAGCACCAAGTCAGGCTGACTCCAGGACTCGATCAAGAACTACAATAGCCCTGTCCGTGCCAGTCCCAGGGAGGGAATCAGAGAAAACGGGTTCTCTTCTGGGCCGAGAAGTCAAGCACTGGGCAGAAACAGTGGGAACACTCTGGCACTTACTGAAAAATACGCGTGTGACCTGTGACAACCATTACAAATTTGGAACAATGTGAATGACTTTTCTGAACTTTTCGTTCAGTTGCACTGAGTAATATGAAATCTATGATTTATGAACTAGATAGTTTCATATAAAGAATTTACATAATTCCCCAATACTTTCATATATAAAATTTAATAAATAACCCTGACCAGTCTAGAAGCACCATTCAAGGGGCGTGTGCCCTTGGAAAATAGTTTAGGTGTTGCATATTTGAGTCCCTTTCAGTGGAGGCTTCACAGGAAACCATTATAGAATTTAACAATAACAACGATGACAACAACAAAAAAGTCACAGTAACTAAAAGAAAAAGTTGTTAAAATAAAATACATTGATTTCTTGAAAGTAAAGCTCATTCACATAGATGATTTCCCCCCTAGCCCTTGTTCTGTGTTCCTGCAAATTCTTCCTAGAGTCTAGGCTGTACAAACAAAAATAAAAACAAAACCACACACAAAAAATATGCAGGCCTATGGTCTGGGCTAAGGGAAAAACAAAGAGTTGGTTATAACTGCTATCATTAGAAAAGTCATTTAGTCATGCTCTGGAAAATTTTTAAATGATCAATTTAGTTCTACAGTATATTCTGCTTAACAGTGAACTGACAGTATCCTTTCTGCTGTTAAAAAAAACGAAAAAAAACTAAAACAACAACAACAAACAACTGCCAAGGCAGAGCCAATTGGTTGGGAGGCTTTCCGCTGACCAAAAAATTAATTTGTCTTCATATATTGTATTTACAAATATAATTTCTAAATGTATTTACAGCTTTAGTAGAACTTAGAGGGTAGAGAACTGATTAGAATGAAAATAACTGTTTAAAACCACAAACATGAGTAAAGGTATAAAATTCTTTGTTTTCACAGTTTGCAATAACAGGTTAAACATCTAGAGGAAAGGACGCTGTCACTGTCTTCACATTGTCTAATATTGAAAAGGTAGCTCAAGAAGAGACTCAATTATGAACAAGCCTGTATGAATTCAGGATATATTTTACTGTAAAAGATTTCTTCACATATCACTTTATCTTAACTGATTTCTGCATTTGTTATAAATGAAACGCTTAACCTAAAACTGTACAGAGATAGGGACTTTGCTTTCCCAAAAGAATTGCTCTAAGGAGTTACACAGCGTACTTCGTCTGTGGAGACGTGATGTGAACTTCAGGGAGAGAAGGTTTCTGTTCTGTGGTCACGTTAATCTTCCTGGCACATCCTCATGTGGCAAGGCACAATTACCTGCTGCTGCCCGATCTGAATGGAGCTCGTCTGTCGCCAGCCACGCGCACTGGGAAGCAGGGCGGGCGACGCTCGGCGGCTGCGCAGCCCTGTGCTGGCCTACACGCTGCCCCCCTGAAGCCCCGCAGAGCTTTACAGTACTGTGTTATGGCTTGAGAATTCATTCTTAACACTGCTAGCAGTGGAAAGGGTAAAGTGTTAGCAACATGAATGGGAGCAAGTGGAACTTGCTGAATGCGGAATCATGTTTATTAGAAACTCAATACTTTTTCTGCCCCTTAACAGTCCCATTACAATGTTTGAACCTGAACTGTACAATCAAAGCAATGTATATTTTTGTCAAAGACAATTTGGATAAGTCACTCTTTGGTAAACTCAAACCAGTTAAACAAATTCACAAATACAAAGAACTCCATGTAATAAGGTTAAGACTGACACAATGACAAGAACCAGGACATTCGAGGTACTTGCCCCACATGCTACCCCTCCTAACTTGTCTCATATGTCACAGAATGCTCTGGAGACCTCTCAGAAGGCCGCAAGCCTGAGTGAAAAGGAGGCTCCTTCCCTGAGCTTGACCTCTCATGTCCTCGGATTTGGGCATTTTTGCCACAAACTTAATTTGTATTACAACACAAATTTTTTGCATTTAATTCTCAAAAAAATCAAAACCAAACTTATTATTTATGTAGGAAAAAAATCACAAACATTTACCTGAAACCCCAGAACATATTTAAATGGGTAAACACTTGGGTCCAGCCTCCCCCTGAGGCACGCGGCTTTAACAGGAGTTAACAAGCGCTTCAGGGAGAGAACAAACCCCTACTTAGGCAGTCTGACGAGGAGAAAGGCATACTGTATACCCGATTTAGCAAAAGCCACTCCTCAGGAGCAGCGGGATCAGAATGTAGTCGGTACGGAGTTAACACTGACGTGTACTGCAGCAGTTCACACGTGAACAGATCCTGTGTGCTAAAGAGATGCTACTGCACAGCTACTGCCCCCAGGGGCTGTCACACACAAGGGCTTGATGACTTTTTTTCCCAAAACAAATACCCCCCCCCAAAAACCCAAAAAACCCCACCATTCTTGGTATTTTAAGAGCCAAAAAAGCATGGAAAACCAGCAAACGTCCATTTCTGTAATCCTTTAACTCCTAGCCTCTGAGGTTGGTCTGTCTTGCCTGCTTTTCTTTTCTGTGGCTATGCTGTTCTCCTGTGGGTCTCAGAGCCCACGTCTCGAGCAGGGAGACTGGAGCGCTGACATCCCACGGGCAGCCTGCGGCACAAACCACCACCAAACTGCTTACAAAATTACTCTCTGCCAGAGCACACAGTACCAAGGCAATCTCGTAAAGCCTGTTTGTGTATGTGAGCACAATAGAGAACTGAAGACAGTTCCTAAAGTACTAATAAAACATTATTCAAACAGGACTTAGATATGTTTTCTTACAGTAATGTGTTTGCCAGCACATGCTTTTGAAGTCTCTTTTCAAGCTATGAACTCAAGAGAGAAAAACAATTGTAAATCACGATTACCATTAGATTTCACATTTTTTATAACTATACTGACCTAAAGATACTTAACATAAAAATAGCACCACGTGACCAAAAAAATGGTGACACACAGAGTATCTTAGAGGGTTTCTGAACTGTTGGTTCTTTAAGCAGGAAACACTGAGAAAGTGGGGGAGCCACTGTGGCTCTCATTAGCACACACAATACTAAGATAGATATATTGCTTGCAATTCCCATAGAGTATAGCTTTACAAAAAGTACAAATTCCAAGTTCTGCAGTTTCCCTGGGAACTGCATGTAGAAAAAGTTGCTGTGCACCTGAACTGGCTGTTTGAAAGAGAAAGAAAAAACAAACAAACTGCAACACTGCTTGGAGAATTTTGTAGACAGAACTACAAATCCCTTTCCTTTAGTGCGAGTACTAACTCATGGTAGAGAGTGATTTGATTTAGTTACCTGGTATGTATGCTTCTACAGTACGGAATGAAGGTAGATTTGTAGGCCAGTAAAAACCTTGAAAACCACTGCTCCTTTGGGGTTGGCTAATATAACGCTACACTATGTAAAAAGGTCAGCACCACAGGTCATCCAGCTTACCTGCTGGATAACTAACAAAAATTCCAAACGGTTTCCAACTAGAGTTGAAGAAATTTTATGGCATTTGGTTTATGTATTTGTTATGAAGCAGAGCTACGAACACTGTGATTTGCTTTGCTTGCTTTTGGACACAATGATTAATATATATGAAAATCTAACATTCTTTTGTAAGGGAAATAAAGGGGCAAAACCCTAACATATTAGGTAGGGAAGAGACAGAGTTTAAAGCCCTGTTCACATTGTATTAAATTATATATTCCTCTTACATTCACCTCAACCAGAATAAAATCAAATTTGAGAATGTATATATACTATATATATAATAATTGTTTTATTATATATATATAAATTGTCTAACTACCCCCTAAAAGTAATTTTAAATTAGAAAAGGTTACCCATTTGTATCAGCTGACAGCATCCTAGTCCCTCTCTGCGGAAATGCGCTGGTGCCAGCACACACAATGAGAGCGTATGCCTCTTGGCAGAGAATATAGGGTCAACCACTTGGCATAGCTATATCACTGGCAGGTTTTGGATTAAGAGTTCAGCCAGAGAGGAATACTGTCAGCCTACGTGTTCCCTGGATACGTTGCCCTTCATGCTTTGAGCTCCTTGGGGGAGGGCGGGCGGGGAAAAGGATAAACACAATGAAGCGTTCCATCCAGAAACTTTAGAAAAACTGCCAAGAGACCGAGAATTTCCAGATGGTTGGGAAAACCAAAGATTACAACAAAGCAAATCACAAATATGCATTGATTAATGTGCTTTGTTTGGGTGCACTTCTTTACCCTCTTAATCAGGAGCATCAGACACTGTGTGAATTTCCATCCGGGAGTCTAGGGCCACCTCCGATGCTGACGCATCATTTTCCAGTTTCTGCTCCACATACACATCTGTTCTCTCGGGGGACTCTAGGCGACTCCTGACCTCAGCCACGCCCGGATGGTTTTTCCGCAGGTGCTGGTTGAGGGTCCCCTGGAACGGGAAGCACTTCCCGCAGATCTCGCAGCGGAACGGCTTGTCATCAGTGTGGCCTCGGATGTGGTACTCCAGCTGGTCCTTCCGCGTGTACTTCTTCCCACAGAACTTGCACACAAAGGGGGTGATTCCCATATGGAGTCGCATGTGCCTGTCAAGGCTTCCTTTCTGGTTGAAGGACTTCCCACAGTAAATACAGATCAACCTCTCGTTGTACGGGTACCAGTGGCCCCTCGCACTCCGCTCCCGGGGACTGCTCTCGTAGCCGGGGTTGCTCATCACGGCCTCGCCGTCAGACCCCTGCACCAAGCCCTGCAGATCACTGTGCAGATGGACAGACAGAGCCCGCTTCTGGCGGGCGCGGCCTCCTCGGAAACAGCTCAGCATGGACCGGGAAGGACTGGAGTTGCTCAGACTTCCGAAAGCTTCTGACACTGCGGCAGGCTGCGAGGCTGCCTGGGCGTAGGGGTAGGCGTGCTGGAGCACAGAGCCATAGGAGCCCACGTTCACCGCCACCACCTGCTCCCCGTCCACCATCTCGGTGTGGTAGCCATCGTCGCCCAGGGAGGAGCTGTCGGAACAGCTGGGCCGGTCGCACTTCTCCACCTTCACCTTCACCTCGGCGATCTGGCTCTCCCGCCCTAGCAGGTCCCCTTGCTCCTGGTCCCCCTCGATCTGAACCTCGTACTCAGAGACGCTCCCACTGCTCCCGCGGTCCGAGTGCCCTTCCTCCTGTACGCGGCTGCGCAAAGCTTTGCTGGGGGTGGTCTCCATGCGGAGGTCGCTGCTTGCGGAGGGCTGCCTAGCTTGAGAGCAATACGGAGGGGAGATCTCAACTGGATTGGCAAAGAAGCTGCTGTCTTTCACTCCATTGCGGCTCTCAGGATTCTCCTCAGCGCCCACGGTGACAGAGTCAACATCTCCAACAGTGATTTTTGAATGGATGCTCTCTAGGATCTGCGTGCACTTGTCAATGACACACTGCATCTGAAGAAAGCTGGCTGCAGTCAGAAAACTGACCACATCCTTTAGCTGCAAGGACATTCTTCCAGTGTAACAAAATGAAAGCAACTGTTCAAACACGTTGGGATTTTTAATCACTGATATTGACAAACCACTCATGGTACTTAATGCTGAATGGTCCCGGAAATACGGGGAGCTGGCAGCGAGGACTGCTTTGTGGGCTCGGAACGGCTGACCCTGAATGTGGACAATGATGTCACATAGTTTCCCTTGCAGGCGGAGTTCGTTTAACTGGCTCAGAACGGTGCTGCTGTACTCAGGCACATCAAACTGAATAAAACTGCTGCTGTCCATTTCTACTGACATGAAGCGTACTCTGCGGAAAGAGAGAGTTTTCGTAATTCACAATGACTCCTCACTAACTACAAGTGGCATAAAGACAGGCTAACGACAACACCACTGGAATTACTGTACCGCCTAAGGTCTGCCTGAGCATTCTTCTTCTTGCTTATTTTCAGCCTTTCACGTTTTAGTTAATTCACCTAAAGCCAAATAACCTAATGTAATTCACAATGACTCCTCACTAACTACAAGTGGCATAAAGACAGGCTAACGACAACACCACTGGAACTACTGTACCGCCTAAGGTCTGCCTGAGCATTCTCCTTCTTGCTTATTTTCAGCCTTTCACGTTTTAGTTAATTCACCTAAAGCCAAATAACCTAATGATCAAACAGCCTCACCTCATAAATGCCTAACATTCACCTTGATCAAAATGGAAACATTGTATACATAGTAGGGCTATTTCAGCCTGACTGAGAAACTGGTATCCTTTTAAGAAAAATATTTCCCTGTTTCGTCTACTTTTGAGGATTTGAAGTACTTTGTAAAAAATAATTAAATCTATCTGAAGAACATCCTGCTTTTTGTGTGTATTTCTAATTGGTATCTTTCTTTCTTTCTTTTTTTTTCCTTTTTGTCTTTTTTACTGACCGGTAACGGGATCGCAACCCTCGGTGTCGCGCCGAGGGTTGCGCCTGTACCGGGGACCGGCAACGGGATCGCAACCCTCAGTGTCGCGCCCGCACCGCGCTCAGCCAGTGAGCAGGAACCGGTCTCCACATGGGATCCGAACCCTCGGGGGGAGCGCCTCCGCGCTCCCAAGCTGCGCACTCTCCAGTGCGCCACCGGGCCGGCCCTAATTGGTATCTTCCAACTGCACAGCACCCTGGATACAATGAATGGAGCTAAACCGTTTCTGGTACTGTTGTCTTGATTTGCATTTTTTTCCCTTCAGTTCTGCAAACCTTTATGTCCTCTCTGGGTTGATAATTCATAGGTTTACAATGCTCAGTTCCCTTTAGTGAAGAGTTATTTTTAGACAGGACTAAAAAGGGTGATGGATACACTGGTGCTCAGGGATGACACGCCCACGACAGGTTTGCTTCCTCTCCTTAGAATCTGCAGCACCAGATCCCTCAAAACTGCCCAAGTGTATACAGCCCAGGCTCCATTCTCTGCCTAAAACAAAACAAAACTTGACCTAACAATTATATTTTAGTTTTTAAAACCCAACCTATAGAAATCTAAACACCTCCTGTATAAGTATTGAATCAGAGAAAATCAAAACAGAATAAAACCCCTTAGAAAATGAGAAAACTCACATAAAACCTACAGCAGGAAGGGTTTAGGAGTGAAGCTTACTTATGTCTTCAATTTATTTGAGACCGCATCCCAAAGAAACAAATAGATATGTGAGTCTAAATGGGGGGTAGTCAGGAGTTTACTATAAAATTCTCTCAACTTCACTGTATGTTTGAAATTTTTCATAATGAAATGTTGGGGGTTTTGAAAAAGAACAACAAAACTGCAAGAGGGAAAGTCAGTGCCTCAAAAAATTTAGTCATTAAACAAAAAAAACCCTAAAAATAAGTGAAATTACTCGACTCAGGAGGTTAGAAAAGGAAAAACAAATCAAACCTAAAGAAAGAAAATAATTAATACAAAAAATAGCATATAATCACAGAGAAAAAAAATTCTAAGACAAGACAAAGCGCAATCTTTACTTGCAAGAAAGGATCAATCAGTTAGTGTGACTAGATTACATCAGAATTTTTTTTTAGCACATCAAAATTTGAAAACATTTTAGTCAGGAGGAAGGAGGGGAAAACATTTTAGTCAAAGAAGAATACCGTGCCCTATTTATCCTAGATTTATGACTGAAATCAACTTGAAATCTGTATGCAATGGGCATATTTTGAGGATAACACAAACTGCCAAGGCACAAATGATCTTCAGGCCGTTCACACTGTTCCAGATGCATGGAAAACATTTAAAGCATCTCAGTTCATATGGCATAAATCTGATACCAGAAGATGACAAATAGCATAAAGAAGAAAACTGTCAGGCCGGCCCGGTGGCGCACTGGATAGTGCGCCGCTTGGGAAGCGCAGCGGCGCTCCCGCCCGAGGGTTCGGATCCCACATACTAATAAGGACAAAAACATGTATAAATGAAGAAATATAACATGCTTTTGGCAGGAAGATTCAATACTATAAAGATGAACACTTTCCCCCAAAATTAATTTATAAATATATTGCAGCCCAGTAGAATATTTTCTTAGAAACTTGACAAAATGATTTTAAAAGTCATCTAGAACGCTGCTGTCTGATATAAACATAAGCCACATTTGTAATTTAATGTTTTCTAGTAGTTACATTTTTTAAAAAGTAAAAAAAATAATAAATTTTAACGATATATTTTATTTAACCCAATATATCTAAAACATAAACATTACGGCATGTAGTCAATATTAGAAAGTTATGAGACATTTTAAATTCTTTTTTTCATACTAAGTCTTTGAAATCTGGTACGTATCTTACACACAGCATGTCTCTATTTGGACTAAACCCATTCCAAGTGCTCAACAGCCGCATGTGGCTGGAAGCTACCAAACCAGATAGTGCAGATTTAGAAGAATAAATACTAAATAAATTTTATAAAAAGAAAAATATAGATGAACTTATAGATGTCAAAATGTCTGATCAGGCTATCATTCATTTGGTAAGTATGTACTGAATGAGCGTCTTCTACATGCCAGGCTCTAAGGACCCAGGGGAGTTATAATTCTCCTATCATAAATTGCGATAAAAGGGCTATCAGTGGGCGAGTGGTCAGAGAAGGCCACTTGAACAAAGCTATTTTAAATGAGACCTAAAGGATGAGTAAAGGTCAGCCAGACATGTGTGGGTATGGGGGTTGCTGCAGGGAAACTGTCCAGACAGAAGGAATCACATGTACAAAGAGATAAAGAGCCTGAGTCGACCAGGAAAAGACGTGCTGGAAGCAGCGTGGCACAGCTGGGACAAGTCGAGAGGGGAAGGGCAGAGGTCACATGAGGCTGTCGAGGTAGGGAGAAACTGAGGTGGCCTCGTGGGCCACTTCAAATCAGTCAAAAAGGAAGAATTATTGAAATAGATTCTGCTTACAGAATTTGAATAAATAATGTTAGATCCCTTCTTCACAGCATATCCCCAAATAACATCTAAAGGAGGCATTTCTAAGCATATGAAGACAGATACCACAAGAAGAAATATAGGTTTAACTACAGAAGTAAAACTTATACATCTAGAAAATAACTTTTGCCAAAAAAAAAAATAGAAAAAAATTATGAAAAATACTTACAACACAGTAGAGGAGTATACTGTCACAAATCAATAAAAAGCAAATTTAACAATTGAAAAATGGGCAAAGACTATGAACAGATACTTAAAAAAATAAAAATAACCATTAAACAAAGAGAAAAAATGCTTAGCTTCATCAGTAAACAATAAAAATTAATATGAGACACAATTCTTTCTCAGACTGGCAAAACTTACAAAACTGCAACTCATCTGGCACCTAACACTAGTGGTCAAGTGTTACCTATTCATTATAGCATTTTCATGACACAAGACTGTGTCAACAGTGACTTTTGCAACTAAAGGGCAAAAGCAAGGTGGGTTCAGGCTTTTTAAATGAGGCTTCCCCTCTTCTGTGTAGCTTTCTATCATCTCAGAAGTAGAGAACTATACTTGAAAGAAAATCACTGAGGAGAAAAAACAAAACTCCGTGACTAACACCTAAAAGAGGGATTCCATTTTTCTGCACGATGAGAAAGTAAGTGCTCTGCTCTCCTCTCCCTTACATTAACACTTCCTTCTGGCAGTGACAATGAGATTCAAAGACTCCTCCCTAGAGCTGCTAACAAGCAACACTCTTGAGTAAGAAGCTTCCAAATGACTGGTATAGTGAATTTACAGTTAATTTCAGTCGCTGGCATATTACCAGACTAAAGGGAGCAAAAGACACAATGAATCACAACTTCTACACTCGATGATTGGATTTCACCAGGTCCAGTGGTCCTCATAGAGGAGGTCAGAACCTCTTGCAGGGACATCAAGTTCAAATACGATCCTCCACCTCTCTGCACTGGCAGTTTCCCAACATGGGCTACTCACTGGTTTTGTGTGAGTGATTTCTCCCCTGCATGGAAAGTCAGTGGGCCTACATCTAAGTTAGACCAAGTTTTAATTAATTTTATCTTTAATAAAATATATGCATATGGTAGACCTTCAAATCATCATACAGAAAAATACAAAATGAACTGCAAAACTCTCCCCCAGCCCCAGCCCCCCTTCCTAAAGATAATCAATCACTGGTAGAAGTTTTGGGGTGTCCTTTCAGAGAAAATTTTAAATGTATAACAGCACAAACTGTTCTGTATCCTGCTTTTAAGAAATGTATTTAATATACCTCAATATCTTTCCACAATAGCACATACCCATCGACCTCATTTTTTCCAACTTCACAATATCCCATCGATGGCTGTGTCACACTGCACCTAACCAGTTCCCAACCAATACCAAAAACAGAAAACAATTTAAATAACCATTGCAAACACAGAATGGCTACATATATATTTCATAGATTTTGGTTTTCTTTTGAAAGTCAATGTGTAACCTCAACTCCTAGCAGAGAAACTGTGGGGTTAGTTTTTCATTTCATTTGATAATGCCAAATTACCCTCTAATAGATGGCTGTTCACCAACAGCACTGGGAAGAGCCTGCTCCCCCATAACTACCAACAATGGATATTAAACCTTTTCATGTTTGCCAAACTGATAAGTGAAAAATGGTGCCTCATTGTTTTGCTGTGCATTTAATTTTAAATGAGTTTGATATCTTTTCTCATGTTTAATGGTAATTTGTTTAAGTTTGTTTTTGAACTGCCTATTCATATCCTTTGCCTGTATTTGCCTTTTTTATTGAATTGTCAGAGCTCTTTGCAAATTAAGGAAATTAGCCTTTTGTCATATGCGCTGCAAGAACAGTATTAGATTTAATTGCCATCACTAACTGGCATACTGATTGGGGATTTAAATTATTTTTCCTACATTCATAGAAAATATTCATTCAATATCAATCTCCTACACACACAAAACCAAAGGGAATT